GGAGCTGCTGAACCACAAAATTGCTGAATCACGAAAGTCTTCCTGGTTACGTGTGCACTTTCATTCTCTGATGAGAGCAGAATACTCTTCTGCTCCTTAATTAATTGTGCAAATTGTTCAAACAAAATCGGCTTATCCTCGATAATAGCAACACAACAATGAATGTCAGACCATAATTGATTTACATGTAACTTTCTCTCCTCATTGGTCACACATTGGTCAAATACGCTATTGCCAATATTGAACATGGGTTTAATGATATTGTTTTTACACCAACGACTAAGAACAAATTCAGCAGGAATGGTGTGCAACTTGAGGTCTTTAAAGACAACAAACATGTGTCTACAAACCAGCCCAACTCGATCGAAGTCTTTGCAACTGCATGTTGTAGTAGATGCGCTTAAAGAATGAACGACATTGAAAATCATACCGCGCTCATCATTAATAGCATAATCACGCACACCATTGACTTCTTGGACGCTTAAAACCGAACATGAGAAACATGCAGAGCATATCTCCTTCTGAATTTCATAGAAAATTGAGAGAGTGTATACAGATGATGCATGTTTTTCAATAGGTAGCAGTGTGCTGTGGACAGGTGTGCAAGACTCAGAAACATGGTTCAATTTGGAGTTCTTGTGTCGTTGAGCATCCATTGCACTTTCAAACTGCATGAAAAACTCAATAAGGCTGAAGTTGGGGTTAGTAAACTCACCAAAAAAATTATTTTCACTTTGAGATCGTGATGTGGTCCTAAGTAAACCGGCCATGAATAAATCCCTAAAAAACCCCGGGATCCAATAACGTTGAATGGAAAACATGTGAGATAACCATGTGTGGCTCACTAAGTCGTATTCCACAATGACTTGCATCCACTCCTTTTCAAAATCTTCGGGTGAAAGATAGTTACTCCAAACTACAAAATTAAGTTTGGACAAAAATTCTTCATTACTGCTAAGAGTAGGACCAACCTTCTCAGTGAGTTTAGACATTATGTGCCACATGCAGTAATGGTGACGAGATTTGGGAAACACCAATTATTCAATAGATTAAAAAAATTACTAAAAATAAAGACATGGTTCACGTTGAAAGAGTAAAACAGAAATAATGGAACACAATACCAATATTTCCTTTCCCAAAATGAAACACATGTATTCATTGAAATGTTAGTTATGAAACTAGCTAAATGGATTATACAAAAATGCCCTTTAATACTTATTTGATCATCTCAACGCATTGTATAATTTGAATGACTCAGATTTGCTCTTACTTCTTTCATCAAGGATTTTTCTCATTTGAACCTACACACACACATATACATACACACACACAAACACACACACACATACATACATACACACACATAAATGTATGTGTATGTGTATGTATACATACACACACACACATACATACATATAGAATAAAGATCAAATGAGAACAGTGCTTAACGTGAGAACATGAGAACGCCGCATTTACCCCCAACATGTTGCACAATGAAGCTTGTATATTGCACTTTTCACATTTTCACAATATTTACCAAAATACCAGCGTGTTTATTTAATATATGCTTAATTCGAGCGAATTGAAAATGTCCAACAAAATAGCTCCATTGTGCACCACATGCATTAATTTAAATGTGAGTGTTATCACGTTCTCACTAGAACAACACCATATATTTGATCAGAAAGGTTTCAGATCAAATAAAAACCTTTCTTAGCGTGAAAATCGATATGTTGCACTTTTTGAATTTCAGTCGAACCACGCTAAATAAAAAAAATGCAGATGCATTTTCGTAAATAAGTCAAAGTTTCATGTCAATGCGAAAATGTGCAACACTGAAACTTAATATATAATGCATCACACTTTGAAAAAAGTGGACGGTTTGCAGTTTTCACGATAAAAATGATTTTTATTTGATCCATACACTATATGTGTGTGTGTTTGTTTGTGTGTGTTTGTGTGTATGTGTGTGTACGGGATCAAATAGAAACACCTCCTAATTTACAAACTATAAACCCATCTTGGCCATCCAATGAGTCTAAAGGCTATTAAGGCACAATGACATTTTTGTAGGGGTGAGCATTCGGTCGGTCGGTCGGTCAAATAACCGATCGATAACCGAATAACCGACCAATATTTTTTACTCAAATAACCGACCGAAAAACCGACCGACAACATTACAAAAACCGACCGAAAAATGTCATTCAGTTTCGGTCAGTAACCGAATAACCGACCATAACCGACCATAATCGGCCGGTGGAATTTTTTGATGAATTTTTTATGTCATGTTATTCATCAAGTCTAGTTCATTCATACCAAATTTGAGCAAACAATTCCATCGGGAAGCTCGTCAAATGGTTTATGGAAGTTAACTGCGTTTTATATGTATTTTTTAGCGCAGTTAACTTCCAAAAAATCATTTGACGACCTTCCTGATGAAATGTTTAGCTGAAATTTTTTGTGGATAAACTAGACTTAATGAAGAACATGATATAAAAAATTCATCAAAAAAATCCACCGGAAAGAGCCCCAAAATCCGTCGGCCGGACGGTGGTTCCTGTCCGAAATTCCGGACAGGAAGACTACTCTACTATTGAGTATATATACTTATATATTTTGGACGGTTATCGGTGACCGACCGATAACCGATAAATATAACCGAATAAAAACCGAATAACCGAATAACCGAAAACCGACCGAAAACTGATTTTTTTGGTCGATTCGGTCATCGGTTTTCGGTCAGGTTGGTTAAATCGGTTATTTGCTCACCCCTACATTTTAGTAATAAAAGCAAACTTTTTTACGATACAACTCTTTGAACGTTATTATGCAACTGATGTTTTATTGCTGAATAATATGCAATACTTTGATTCTCAATATGCAATACAAATCGTACAAATATTTGCTCAATAAGCATAATTTGTACTTGATCCGCTCCTTATATATACCATGTTATGATGTTAATACGAAGTATATACGAAGTATATGTAACCTTTGATGACGAGAACGAGATTAGTTATTATTATCCTATATTTGTGAGTTAATTTGAAACAACTACAAAAGGCCACCCCACGGGTGGTGAACGGCGCCATGAAAACGGCCTTGAAATTGTGCTTAACACGCACAAGATTGATGAATGGGCTATGCAAATCTTTTGTAAATATTTTGTAAAGTTATTTTCCAAATAAACACTGCAAAGTGTTTGTATGTAATTTTAAAATAGATTTTTATTTAACATGTAAGCTAATTACAACTAGGGTTGGACTCGGGCCGGGTGGCCCGACCCGGAACCGGCCCGGGACCGGTACTGTTCCGGCCCGGCCCGAACCGGTGGCCCGGTCAGTGACCGGTCCGGGTAGGCCCGACCCGGTGGGTTTCCGGTTCGGGCTCGGGTCACCCATAACAAGGCCCGGGCCCGGTTTGGGCCAAATTTAATATTTTTTTTGGTTTTTTTTCATTTGTTTGGGCTCCACCGGGTTGGGCTTGATGTTTAGGAGGGGTTTGGGGGGTGGGGGTGAGGGGGGTCAGGGATGGGTAGCTAAGCAAAAAAAAAACCAAACCCGAGGCCCGGCCCGGACCCGGACCGGCCCGGACCGGACCCGGTGGCTACCCGGGCCGGTCCCGGGTCCAGCTATATTGAATCGCCGGCCTGACCGGGCCCGACCCGGCCCGAGTCCAACCATAATTACAACCCTAAATTTTACGTTCAATCATTTTAGATGTACAATTTTAATGCATGAACTAACAAACGAGCCCTATGAGAGATGAAGCAAACTAGTAAGGCCAAACTTTACTTATTATTTTCATTAATTCTTATATTAGTCAATATTTTCTGAATAAATTCAGACGTAATGAGTATATAGCTTACAAAAATATATGGAATCGAACACCAGAGAATTGGGCCTACCCAATTTTGGAATTGGTTCCACTATGTAACTCAACATGTGCGGGAAGGTGGGAAACTAACTAAGTTAGAGCCGTTAGATCATCCATTATTGATGGGATATAAGATTCACGTAATTAGAAACTAATACTTCCTCCGTCCCTATTTGGTTAGTCATCTTCTTTCCTTATTTGGTCGCTCCAAAACACTTGGCCACTTTTTCCATTTTTGGTAGTAAATAAAATGCAATGACACATTTAACCTTACAAGATAATCATCCGTTCTGAATAATTCTTATACATTCGCCTTGTGTCCATTCCCTTTCTCTTGATGTCAGACACAACCCGTCTTCCTTTCTTTTACCATCTCTCATGCATCCTTTCTCAATCCTTCGAAAACCTTACCACCATGAATAGAGATAGACTGGAAAAGGTCGGTCCAACCCAGGATCCGGTCCGACCCGGTACTGTGCAGGCCCGGCCCAGTCCGAGACTGGGGGCCTGAACCGGGAGTATATTGAGCGGGCCACGGGTCAATGAGAATGTGGACTGGCCCAGGCCCATTGTTTTAAATTTTATCTCATTGATTGGCTGCTAGGTGGGTGGGGCTGGATGGTTTGGGGGGTGGGATAGGAATAAATTTGAAAAGACAAATTCAAAAAAAAAAATTGACCCAACCCAACCCGGTCCAGTCCCGGTACAAACTCGGGCCGGTACCGGGCCTGCAACCCAAATATTTAGTCCCGCCTAATCCCATTATGGGGTCCAGCCCGACCCGGGCCCAGTCCACCCCCAACCATGAAATCTGAGGACAGGTTCTTCAAGTCAGTTTCGTTTGTATTTCAATTAAAGGTCTCTTTGTGCTCTGATTTTTGTTTTGTTTTTTTCATTGGGTTATTCCTGCTTGTTAATTTAATGCCTTTATATTTCATTCTCCTCTGGTTTGCGTTAGCCTTGCATTTAATTTTACTCCAAATAGTATGTACTTTCTTTTGGGTCTCCATTCCGTTATTTTACTTGAAGGGCAAATTTGTCCAGTCAACTATATATTCTCCCTTATTCCTTGTGCCAGTCAACATTGGCTAAATAAATGAGGTGGGAGGGAGTATATATTAATATTAAGATAAACTCCAACTGTCCTAGTGAAGCATGTGATTATGATGTTTATTATTAAGCGTCGCATACTAAAGTACATCATCAACGGCCCCAAGTCTAATTATTCAACGGCCGTCTATCCCTATTGGGGGCATGCCACATTCACATTTCAGCTTTGTACATACAAAAGTTTAATTTATAATTTGATCTTTTTTTAGACATAAGGAAATCGGACACAGATAGAGAGCACATGTAGGAAATAGGAATGATAGATCCCCTGAAATTCAACGAAAAACTATAAAAGAACTGTGAATCTACAAAATTGGCTTGGTCAGGCAAACTGTGAATCCAAAGGTCAAGTTCTTACTCCTTCCATCCTCCCATAAAAAGGTTCTCATTTGCCTTGACACACTGATTAAGAACATTGAAATTGCAGTGTGAAGAATTATATATAGAGAGTAGAAAGAACTAATATGAACCGTTTTTCTTTTCTTAAAATGAATACAAAAAGAAACCTGATTTTGGGATGGGCAGAAAAGGAAAGAGAATCCTTTATCAGCATGCAGGGAATATGTTGACCTTGGTTTATGGAGGCAGATTTCATGACCATGGTTTCTGCCACCCCAGCCCTTCCAAGAAATCCTCAATCAACCTAACAAGAGAAGTAAAACAATAAACAAGTAATCTAATTCCACAGCTATGATGGACGTAAAAGAGCCTGAGAAACAGTTGAAGGCTGGGAAGGGCAAGGAAGGAAGGCTTCTGAGCACAAATCTTTTGTTTGGTTCAAAAGATACTAAAGGAAAATAGGAGTGATCAGGAAAACGGTATTATATTCCGTTCTATAGGATTATTGAATTACATTTCATTTTCATTTTCATTTACCCCAGTGCCGCAAAGGCTCCCACCTACGGTGGGGTAAGGGGGGGTCGGATGTACGCAGTCTTACCCCTGTACTAAAGCAGGGAGAGACTGTTTCCGGATGACCCATAGTGAAAATCGCGTCCAAGATTGCATGGACTGACTGCTGCTCCATAACAAAGAAGCGCAGACAGTTTAGTGAGCCATTTTGCTTTATTCCATCATAATCTCAAGCCAAAAAATAATGAATCTTTGGCTCCATTGCAAATGATGGAAAAAGGATTATTGAATTACATTATAGAACAATATGTAAAAATATCAATTTTAGAGGGCGGCGAAGGGGAAGGAAGCAGAAGGTTATTCCATCCTTTCATAACTGGATTTATCAGGTTTACAAATGGTAGTGATAATATTAATAAAAATACTAGTACTACTAAAAAGCCTCAGGCTTCTACTTACAAGCTGCATATAGCCTTCTGTGATGCAGCCAGCTCACGGTCTGGAAAGCTCTCTTCCAGCCGAAAACTTAACCAAACATAGAGATCCAAAACCTTCAACAATTAAGAAGTTGAGTTAGCATCTGATTCCGATTCAAGTGAGAAAAAAGAATTATGCATCTATTGTGTGTGTCTATATATACACACACATATACGTAGGGTTGAGTTCCAAAGAAAAGAAGATTTCCCATGAAAAAAAGAATAATATATAGACTTTTCAATGCTTAAAAATGAATGGATGAGATCAATTATTCATCAAAAACGCGGTCGCAATATTGTAAGTATTTCAAATTTTAATATGCAACGTTTTATGATATAGAGTATTTCGTGCATACAAAGAAGTGCATTGACAAGTCTTTAATTTTTTATCAATTCTCAATGTTATATGCATTTTATTTTGTATAGTAACGCACTTGTAGAATGTTCAAAAGCAAATTTTGTATACATTGTTGCACTTTTATTAGCGTATATTAATGAAAAGTTCTTCAAATTTACAGTAATGCTACCGCGTTTTGGTCTTAAATATTGATCTAATCTTTCAATTTTTCACATAAATGTTCAAAATTAGTTCTTACTTTTCAAAATTAATTGAACCAAATATTATATACGTAACATGTATGTGCTTGTAAATGCATGTGTGCGTATGCGTATAATGTATATGTGTGTACACATTGTATAATGTATATGCGTATAATGTATATGTGTGTACACATTGTATACCTATTCAGGGTCATCTATTTTTTTAAATACCTCGGAAAGGATTAGAGTCATCTTCTGCACTTCCAAAAATAGTAGTACTGATTAATTCTAACCTTGTGAATTGATTCCAGCTCTTTAAGTGCACCCTGTGTCTTAGGCACCTGAAGCGTCCCAGGAGTAAATATTTCCCGAAGTCTAACAATGCCCTTCTTTGCATAATTTGTTGCAAACTGACCACTCCAAAAGATAGTTACATCTGGTTAGTAATCTTTTCCGGCACACATTGTTTTGCACAAAAATGAAATAAATATTTATGAAATAATAATATGCGATACTATGAAGCACGGGGACTCCCCGCGACGCATGCTTCCTCTTCTAAAAAACTCGGAAGCATCCAGGAAACTCGAAAACTTCAAATTCCCATTTCAGAGCTGTTTCCATAATTAAGATGATTTGGGAAACCTGTTTCCCTAAATGATTACCATTTCAAAAACTTTTGGGTTTCCAAATTTTGATGGAATTACTTGATGGAAAATAGTTCCTTTTTAAAACCTTTTACTTAATTTTTATGAGATTTTCTATCATTTGCAATGGAGCCAAAGATTCATTATTTTTTGGCTTGAGATTATGATGGAATAAAGCAAAATGGCTCACTAAACTGTCTGCGCTTCTTTGTTATGGAGCAGCAGTCAGTCCATGCAATCTTGGACGCGATTTTCACTATGGGTCATCCGGAAACAGTCTCTCTGTGCTTTAGTACAGGGGTAAGACTGCGTACATCCGACCCCCCCTTACCCCACCGTAGGTGGGAGCCTTTGCGGCACTGGGGTAAATGAAAATGATGACTTAATTTTTATGAGATATTTTCCTAGCAAACATTATAATATTTCTTAATGAAATGCATTGCCAGAAATGCATAGCATTTTATGTTTAATCATCTATTACTCCTTCCGTCCCACTATAAGTGTCCCATTTTTCCCTTTCCGTCCATCTAACTAAATTGTCTCATACCATATTTGGTAATATTTGTGTGGCTTTAATTCATTCTTATTTTATTCTCACTTTATCAATTTATTATCAACCACATAACTTTACTTTCCTTAAAACTGCACCACTCTCCTTTGTCCCAATCTTAGGGGGCAGAGGTAGTAATATGTAACAACTTCTAAATTTGAAGATGTAGAATGTATTGATTATTGGTTAAGAAACAGAGTTATATGAAACAAATACAGGCATAAATGAAAAAAATGTACACATATATGAAAAACAATTTATAAATATATCCTAATGTTTTTTAATATTTGTATGTTCCCCTGCGTTTCGTATCCTATGTTTTTTAGAAATCCTGTTTCCCTCGTTTCGCATTTTCCATTTCACATTTCCAAGAAATTATTCTAAATTTACACCCATGGCAACCATTCCTGTTTCCTCGACGTTTTGTTTCCTATGTATATATTTGGTGTTAATAATCAACTATATATCAACAGATCTTACTTGGGTGAGGCCCTGGGATGATATATCATCATTGACGTCCACTGGGCTGCAAGACAATGAATACAAATTCGTCAATGATTGGCACGAGTCAGTCATATGGAAGGTGTATATAAGACCATCCGCATCCCTGCGCCATCTAAAAACATAAATATGGACTCTGTCGATATGAAACAATGTTTAGTCCATCAATACCATTTTTCTTTGCATCCCAGCACCGTCAATAAAATACACTCTCCATATTTTTTTACATATCGTTTTATTAAAACATTAAATAAATAAATATAACTAATGTTTTTTCTTGTTTTTTTAAATAATCATGAAATTAGAAAAATACACATTTCGATGTTAAACAATAAAATATTCGTTAATTTGTTTTTTTACCTTTTTCAGTTTTAATAACAAATTAAATGAGTTCATGTAAAATTAAGTTATTTATGGATACACCATGGATTAAGAATTTGTGTTTCGTGTTTTTTAGTGCTCCAAAAAAACTATGGCAATTAACAACTTCTTATTTTTTTAACTTTATATATGTAATATTGATGTCATATGAAAGATCATAAAATTTTATGAACTTTGGTATATATTTTAAAAGATTTGGAGCAAAAAAATAAGAAGACTTTAAGAAATATGGGATTTTTAAGCATAGATGACGTCATTGTGACGCCATCCGCTCCACCCCAGCTTCCTGCAGGCCGCAGTCTTCCGTTTTCATTCTTTTTCCTTTTCTTTTCTCCTGTCAATCCTCCCTCTATATTTAAACCCCTCCACCCACTTTCCCACTTTTAACCCCTTTTTTAATCCCCACTACACACAATTAGGAGTCCAAAACTTCCAAATTTAGCATTTTGGACTCCTAATACCTCTCCACTACAAATGGTCTAAGCGGTCATTTGGTGCTTTTCATGAAAAAGTACTTTCCATGGAATTACTCTCCGCCCTTGTGTGGAGTCTCATTCCTACTGGAGAAATATATTACATTTAATCATTTACTTTCCTTGATCAAAATAGAAACCAACCCATAGAAATTGTTCTCATCAAATACTATTCCTCAAAAGTATTTATTTTCCAACAAAGGCCCCTACGAGTAATGCAAGAGAGACAATTCATCAATAATTACCCATAAGTGCAACGGAATAAATTGAATTATGATTTCTCGTGGAAGTGGCTACTAAGGCAATTACCTTATACAAAAGAGATATTTATCGTGCAAACTAAGTGGCAACTCATCTATAATAGAAGCAACTCGCTGCGATGGAAAGACATAACAAAAGTCAAGAATGGATTTCAAGAAAAAACCTAACTATGTATGTATCGATGTAGGATCTCAATCCGGTTCAAGTGAGAATGTGTTCTGGTGAGAAATGAGAATGTTATAAAACGTAAAAACGGTGCACATTCTTATTAGTGGCGGTGCACACTAGATCATTCACAGTTCTTTGTGGCAAGAAAGCTCAGTCAATTTATAAAAATGACACAAAAATGACATTTTTTTAGTTCATGGTGATGCACATTCCAATTTCTGAAAATGCACAATTCTCAAACCGGACGCTCTAAATCCATTCTCATTTGATCATATGTGTGTAGAAATATATATGCGTGTGTGGGTGTTTATACATTGTCTCCGTTTTAATTAGTTGCCTTATATTCTATTTAAGAAAGTTTGTTAATTCTTGCTCTACTTTCCTAATTTGGGCAATATCAGCATATCCAAATATATAGGATGCCCTCAGTTTTTTTACATTTATACTGTTTCACCTACTTTCTCCTACTATTTAGTACCCCTGCAAATTTTCTTTTAAAAACCATATAAAACCTAATGGATAAAATAGAGTATATAAAAAGAGACTTATGAGTGATGGCAGGATAAAAGAACCTACCAACAATACATCACAATCAGATATAAAGTAGTTTGCGGATAGCTTTGCATTATCTACAAAGTGCTCCTGTAAAGGCATCACATATATAATTGAGTTGCAACATGGCAGAACTCGAAGTATACATAAAGCAGAGTGACATTTTAACCTACCAGTATCTTGTATAGGCCATACTTTGGGTGTAGACGAGAATACATATATAGAAGGTCAAAGTTTGGGAATAGACCAGCTTTCTGTAGTACAAAACATGTTTTTATCATGTATTATTACCATAGTTCACATACTATCTATCACAAAGTTGAATATTTGTCAAAAGAGGTTTATCATTTATCAATACCTCAATGATAGGAGATGGGGAATCGAGTGATGAATGAAGTAAGGGTAGATCATCAGCATCTAGACAAGTCACTTCACCAATTGGAAATTCAGATCCATACCTACCTGCTCTTCCTGCAAGGGATATAGTGATTTAATATGACATACATACTCCCTCAACCATTCCAAAAGATATCGTCCTATTTATTGTCTCTTTTCCTAAAATAGTTAAAAAAAAATCTAAAACAAAATATTTATTTTAAACTAATAACAGCAATAAGTGGACTAAAATAGAGATGCTTTTTTCTTAACATTTTGTGTCAAAATGACATGAGACAATATCTTTGGAGTCTAAGAATTGACAGTTCATGAGAAACAGGCAATAAAAAATACAACAAACCATAATATATTTACTTACACTCAGCACAATCAATACTCGCTCCATCTCTTATTATAGGACACATTTTCTTTTAGGGACACTAATAAAATTTAAATCACTGTGCAAAATTATTCCTCAACTAGTCCCAACAGTGTCAAATGATATCATAAACTCAAGAGAAAGGGTGAATTGGAAAAAGTAAAAAGTTAGTTGTGCTTGAATAGTTGACTTAGGAAAGCTGACATTATTTTAGAACATGCTAAAATGGAAAGTAAGACAACTAAAATGGGACAAATTGGACTATTCATTTCAGCCTAAACAATCAGATTAATACTTTAAGGGCCAACTAGACGTGATAAGGTGGGAAAAGAGTACGATGTGTGTGCATGTGTGCACATATATATCCAGTTCAGGACATTGAAGAAATGCAATCAAAGCATATCTAGTCAAAATAGTCAACTCTTACTTTGCATTTGAACAAAGCATGTCATTATACTTCATGAACTGTTGAAGTAATTAGGAAGCCACAGTAAAGCACCACGAAAATGACAACACAATCCAAATTGCAAATAACTTTATTCATTACAACCATAACTTTCCAGTATATTAGCATTTTAAAAAGATTTTGAACTATCTCACAAAAGCAGTTGGTGATAAATATTTACTGGAAAATAGTATTAAAACCTGCTATTTGTTTTATCTCAGATACTGACAGATCACGTATGTCTACACCATCGAATTTCTTTAATGTAGAAAAGATTATTCTAGATATGTTAAGATTGAGACCCATCCCAATAGCATCACTTGCCACCAGAACATCAAACATACTGTTTGTGTCATTGAACATCGTTGCCTGCATCCATAAAGAACATATTTTACAGACTAGCTATAACAGATGCTTTAGATATACATAAATACATCGTGCAAATGAAAAACACAAGAGAAGTAAATTGTACACTTGGGGAATAGATAAATAATATTGAGTGCCAGTTTCGCAACCCATTTTTTGTCTTATTGGCCTTATCAGTCAATTTTTTACCACACTATTTTTTCTATGTTGCTGACTTAATTGGATGATAATCAAAATAAGTATGGTTGGAGATACTTCTTTTACTGAATTCTCTCAAGAGGACAATTTCAGCCACAACTTCAGCACAATGAAGCACATTCAACAGATTCATCCAACTTTTGTGTTACCAAAAGGCCTCCAAGTCTGATCTCCTAGGGGCAGAGAGAGAGAGAGAGAGAGAGAGAGAGAGAGAAGAGGTAGAAACTCCACCTGTCTGGTCCGAGTCTCGGGAGGCAATGAACCGTAAACAACAGAGCAAAGATGCTTTCCTCCCCTTTCAATTTGTTTCTGTCAACACCATTACACCAATAGAGTTGACGAACAAAACACACCGTGAGAACAAACTAAACTGAATTACGTAAAAAGAAAACATTGCATGTATTCAACAGGTCCCCTTTATGCTTTAACACTGTCCAATTGGTGTACATCCTAGGTGAACAAGAAAAAGTGTTGGTTGCAGCAAGGCATATTGACATTCTCACCTTAAACCTATAAATTTTAGTACGTGAAAAGGTGACAATGCAGTCTCCAGTCTGTATATTGGCAAATGGGCCCAAAGGAACCTTCAATGGTACAAGGGGCGAGAGCCTCTCATAGTATTTAACCTAGGCAGCATATTATTAGAGAGAATAAGGAACAGTTCTATCTTGTGACAATAATGAATCATGTGAATGAAGTGCGATAAAACGACTGGCCTACCCAGTACCCACTTACCGAGATTATGGCCAATACTGCCTGTTTAACACTTCTGAAAACTTTATCTACTTCAAAGTTCAAACTATTTAGGTTTGTATGATGCCATTATTCCTTTTAAGAAACTCATAATATGAATCGTGCTTGTGATTCTTTTACATCCAATGATGGTATCATAAATTCAAAATTAGCATTTCCAAGGCCACATATCTTTTTCATCATTTATAAATACTTTCTTAAGTGATTAAAACATAGACCCCAACTATGAATACACTTTACACACCTTCACATTATCGCCAGTCGCTTTAAGAATTTCCTCAATCAAGGGAACAGCTGCAGGGTCTCCACACAAGTGCAGCTCATCTGCAGATATTCCTAATAAAGCACGTGTAAATGAGAAACCCCTTGTACTGCACCCTACCATCTAGATAAAAAAATACAATTAATAGTTACACGCAACTAGTTTCTCAAAATAAAAAAAATGCATATGAACAATTATAACAAAGCCAACTCAACAGCACTTAAAAAGGTCAAATGCATAACGAAAATGCTAGTAATCACTCATTACAATAAATGCTGAAAGTCAATATTCAGTTGCATTTATGTTAGGGATCTACATAGAATAATAAGAAATAAGAAGAGTATTAGAATAGTTAGTATAAATAGAGGGTGAGGGGAGAGTAGAAAGGGGGGTTGGAATTGTTAATTGGGTCTGGGACTTTGGAGAGTAGGCACTCTTTAACTGCCTTTGTACTTTTCTCTCTCTATTTTCTTTATACGAACCCTTTCAGTTGTACGCACATCTCTGTTCTTCATCTTGTTTCTTGAAATAGATCTTAAATTAGCTAGGTACCTAACATTGGTATCAGAGCTCAGACGATGCAGGCTACGATCGGGAAACTGGCAGAGCAAGGCCAAAGTTGTTCGCGAAATAGTTCGCAACCTTCACATGCGTCGCATCGTTCTTCGCATCATGGACACGTGAGAAGTTCCGCTAGAGCAGATGGATCAGAAGATAGTTCCACGTATTTTGTTGCGCAGCAAGGGCAAAGGCTTCGCAAGGGACAGGGAGAGCGATCGAGGAACAGTTGGCTTCACCCGCTACCGCAGACGGAGTCGCAGACAAAATCGCGAACCTCTTCTTTAAGTTCGCAATCGCGAACTCCTTCTCAGAATTCGCAGACTTCCTCACCGGCCATCTATTCGCGTCCAAGAAAGAAGCGATTGAGAGGAGAATCTTCTTCTTCGCCTGAGGATTTTCACTGTTCGCTTTCTTCGTCTACAGTCGCTTCTCGGAATTCAGCGAGGTCAAAGAAGGAGGAATTACCTCTATTCCACGAGGTTGAAGCGTACGCATGGATAGGGAGGATGGAAAGATATTTCCGAGTCCAAGCTACCGCAGAAAAATTTAAAGTAGACATTGCAGCAAAGGCAATGGGGGAAGCCGCAGATGGCTGGTTTCATTGGTGGGATTTTCATAAGAGAGAAGATAGTTGGAATGCTCTCAAGGAAGACTTGATTAGGGATTTTCCACCTAAACACCGGCAGAAGACAGGGAGGACAGAAAAACAGGTATCATCAAGGTCACCAAGAATTTCTTGTAGTTTGCAAGTTTCTCACCCTGAACAAGATATTGCCCAGTCAATAAAGAAGACACAGATGGAATTAACTGAACCTGTAATCACGCAAATGAATATGAAAGAGGAAATCAAGGACGTAATTAAGGAGAAAAGACAGGTTATTCAACCATGTTCCTTTGGAAACAGAGTCCTAATGACTTCTGAAACTAGTACAGAGGCTCAGGAGGAGGAGGTGGAGACTGTTCCAGGAGAATCTGCTAATATCTGGGGAAAACATCAACAGATTCATGGTACTGATAAGTCTAGCCATGCCCTACACCTTGAAATACAAGAAGCAGAACTGCCGCCCTGGGTTGAGAGCATGTTAGACTACCCCAAGCTTGATTTACAAAATCCATTTAAAGCACTTGAAAGTTATATAATGTTGAGAGACATCTCTGAAATGACAGCTCATAACCTGTTACTGCCTAAGGTTTATGAATCATTCACAAGGCTTTTACAGAGGATGGTCCCAAAGAGTTACCAACAAACTTTAGCTATTAGGGCCCCTGGTAACATACAGCATTTGGTCGTTCACATGTTACCTTATGTTAGGCCAATGTTGACTAAACCACGACCACAGCTTGAAGAATTCGGAACTGGTAACAATGTTGACTGCAGTTTGATGGCAAAGGATGAAGCTACTGGATATGATTTCGTCATTCTTGATACTGAAGGAAAAGGGAATGTCCGAGCCATGATGACTTCTCAAGAGTGTGGTGCAGAAAACCTCTATGAAGTACCTAGATCTGTAGGTATCCAATTCCAGGAGGAGTGGCAGCCAGTTTTTTATGCTATTATTGGGGAACTGCCCGATGAGAATGGTTCTGTAGGGGTTGTAGCACTCGGTGCTGGCAAGGTTGTAGTGAAGCATCATGAAAATATGCCCTTGCCTCAGCTTCTCACTATGGTAAAAGTGATGGAAATGGTTCAGTTCATGAAGTTCAGGGTCCTGAAATTTGGAAGATATTGGGAAGGACGAGGCGCAAAGATGAGGAAGAAGCGGTTCATCAGGACTGTCTCCTATGACCCACCTTGAGGACAAGGTGGTTGTCAAAGGGGGAGTAATGTTAGGGATCTACATAGAATAATAAGAAATAAGAAGAGTATTAGAATAGTTAGTATAAATAGAGGGTGAGGGGAGAGTAGAAAGGGGGGTTGGAATTGTTAATTGGGTCTGGGACTTTGGAGAGTAGGCACTCTTTAACTGCCTTTGTACTTTTCTCTCTCTATTTTCTTTATACGAACCCTTTCAGTTGTACGCACATCTCTGTTCTTCATCTTGTTTCTTGAAATAGATCTTGAATTAGCTAGGTACCTAACAATTTAATATAATTTTTTGTCCAATTACATAAATGACTACATATTATAAAATAATGCATATGAACAATTATATCAAAGCCAACTCAACAGCACTTAAAAAGGTCAAATGCATAACGAAAATGCTAGTAATCACTCATTACAATAAATGCTGAAAGTCAATATTCAGTTGCATTTAATATAACTTTTTGACTTTTTGTCCAATTACATAAATGACTGCATATTCTAAGAAACACCACACTACTACACTAGGGGTGCTTATCAAGCGAGTCGAGCTCAAGTTCGGATTAAATTGAGCTGTTTTTCATTAAGAAAAGTCGAGTTCAAATTCAAGTCGAGTTTCAGCCAAGTTGAAAATATATAACTTGACTTGAGTTGAGTTCGATTTCGAGTTCTATTCGAGTTTTACCTATTCTAACAAATGATGTATTTTTAAACTTTTGTTTTGTTATCACATTTAAACACACATATGCAACACCACACTGATAATTACTTGTCTTCCAATTACATAAAAGACTATATAATATAAGCAACACCATACTGATAATTATTTGGGCTCTAATACAGTCAAGGGTCTCATTTTAGTTCCACTCTACTTAAAACCTGATAGGAACCTATTAGTATAATAATAATAAAATAACGCTACATAGTTTGTTATTATGTTAAAGGGGGTCTAGGCCTGGTATTATTTAGTTATGGGCCGGCCCGTAAACAAAGTATTATAAATAGGAGCTGGGAATGAATAAAGGCAGGCAGAAATTGGGTTAGGCTCTGGACTTGGGAGAGAGAGACACTCTCGAAATTGTCTAGTCATCGATTTCTACTCTTCATCTTCGTTTTCTTCCGCATTCTACTGTAATCTCCCAGTGGATTCTGGATACTTATATGTATTCGGAGAATTAATATACAAATATTTCTTCTAATCTGCTCTGAAATAACTGGTTCCTATCATTGGTATCAGAGCATGCCGCTTCGTGGAGGCAGAGAATCGAATCATCGATCATCCCAGAGCATCAACAACCTGAAGCTATGGAGGAATTCTATATGTCACCGTGAATGGAAAAGAGTTTTGACAATATGGAACGACATATGAAGGAGATAAGAACTGCATTGGGCGAGTCGCTGGAAGGGATGTGCTACATGTTGCACAAACTTCGTCGCAGGCTGCGACCTAGAGACTGAGCGAGGAGCCCTCCTAGACGCCGTCGGTCAACTGAAAATCAGGTTTCTTCTGAAACTCTAGCAAGTTCCAGTTCATCGTCGCTACTTGTACCTCACCAATCGACATCGCGAGAGGCTTATACCAGTTCGCAGATGGCATCTCAAGCTGCGTCGCACACTGCGCTAGCTTCGTCGCCAGCAGAAGATCCTTGCTCGCTGATTTCTGCGCTCGCCTATACTCACCCTTCGCAGGTTTCTTCGCAATCAGTTTTTTCCAGTACACCAGCTTCTGCGCTATCAAATTTGCTGAGTACGCAGGTTTTTTCCGAGTCTCTAGCCGCTCCTCACCAGTCCTCTTCGTCGCAATCCGTTTCTCTGAGTTGGCAGGTTTCGTTATGAGTGATTACTAGCATTCTACTGTTCATCTTCGTTTTCTTCCGCATTCTACTGTAATCTCCCAGTGGATTCTGGATACTTATCTGTATTCAGAGAATTAATATACAAATATTTCTTCTAATCTGCTCTGAAATCGCTGGTTCCTATCAAAACCAAAGGAATTCATGATACCTAATCTACAAAGAACAACTATGCACATCCCAATAAAGTGAAAAAAGAGTCTGAGTCAAAGAAACATGGAGTAACAGCCAGCAAGTGCAATAAAAAACTAAACTGAAAACAAAAAAAACTGCATTGAGCTCCAAAAACACGACACACTAATGAATCAACCTGTAGGGAAGGTTCTTTTGTGTAAATAAATAAACCTGCACAAAAGAAAGCTCTTAATGCTCAACTCATAATAGACCAACTAGGTGATGCCATAACACCCAGAGTTGGAGTTAAAAACTATGAGGGTTTTGGAGGCGAAGACCCCATTGATCCCAAAGAGAGGCAGGTCGGGTTTGTTTGGATGGAGGGTTTTGGGGGCAAAGACTTTGGAAGGCTTAGTGTGTGTGTGAAATTTTATAAAGATGAAAGATTAACATAATAGGTGGTCATATAAAATTTCAATCACCTTTTATTCATTTTCATGAAAACATTTCTATTGATAAAGATATAGACTAAGCCCTCTAAGCCCCATCCTAACAGATACTTAGAGGAAAGATACAATGCTTTTTATTAGGTCTTTCTAAGACAACAATTTCATGCTTTCACAATCCATTTCTATTTTAACAACCTTATGTTAAACCTCATTGGTTGTTTTAAACATAATTTTAAGCATTCGCGAGTGAGAAAAATATACAATAAACAAATTATATGTTCGAATCAAATCAATTACACCATAGCACAATTGAGGTCGGTAGGTCGCATAAGCTATTCATGAGTAAAATACGGTATTTACATGCCTGAATCTCATCAATAACGGCACACCCGTAGTCAGCAGACACATCAGCCATTTCTACTGTTACAGATTTATGTTTTGCACCCTCCACTTCCTCCCTTTCTTGTCCAGTTATAAGGTCACAAGGAACATTTGCCTTGTTCAACCGTTTTGCCACCTCCCATGCCAACAGTCTCAATGGCCCACAGTAAATACCTACTCCACTAGTTTAAACTGGTTATCTCGTGTAAATGAAACAGAGTGAAACTATAGCAATAATAGCATTCGAAACTTATACCAGAAGAACTTGACTGGAGTTGTCTGAGGGCACAGTGTGTTTTACCACTGTTTGTTGGACCCACATGTAAAACAACATTTCGACTTTTCCTTCGTGCATGTGGGTACCATGCGTGCGGACGACTAATTCCAAGATGAATGAAAATATAAGCATTCTGGATATTACTCAGTTCATTAGAAAGGGAGAATAAATAGTATTCCTTACGTGAGATCTGTAAAATCCACTTTCTTTGTGCCAGATGAACTGCTCAGATGCCTTGAGCAGTCCCGAAAAGAATGAATGTGAACTTCATGTTTCATAATGAAACCGAGCCAATGTAGCTCAGCATAATCTGTCAAACAGAATACGAAGAAACTGAGCGACAGATGGACATGATGTGACACAGAAGTAATACAAACAAGAGACATCATTTTCTTAAAAATTATTAACTAGACAAAAATAATCTCAACTCCACTGCATATTTAAGACATTATATTAAATGAGACGGTGTCAGTGTTCCATTTTACCATACTGCATCTTCTTCCCACTCCTCAGCAAACCCAACACCAATCTTCATCACCCAACTTCCCTCCTCTTCATCTTCTCTTCTTCAATTATACCCCAGCTGCAAACCCTAAGCCCCCAAATTTCCCCATCGAAAACCACGGCGGGGATCAAGGAGTATATAGTCGAAGCCACTTTGCTGCATCTTGAAATATATTTCCTCAATGTCTTCCATTTTTCGTTGAAATCAACAGCCACGGTTGCATATGCATCTATCAACAAGAGATGCACGGCCTAGAATTCTTATTTAATTGAGATCAGGTGTTAAAATGCACTATCTTGTTCTTGAAACAAAACAAAAATATATAAGATTTGAACTTTTGAAAAGCAAAAAACCAAGACTATGAAATGTGAGGGCTTCTAGTCTGGGCGCAAAACAGAAAAAATGTTTCGGTTGAAAATTCCACGGAATGCTGTATATGAAGCGAAGAGAAAATAGATCAGAACTGGAGACTCATCATCATCATTACCCCAGTGCCGCAAAGGCTCCCACCTTCGATTGGAACTGGAGACTAATAAATAAAAATGGCAATAATAGCAGAGAAAAAAGGGGGAATTGAATGAAAAGAGTACGATGTATGCATACTCAAAGACGAAAAGAGAGTCACCAAGAGGCTCCTCGTCATCCTCATAAGGTAGCAGAGGCTTGAACAGTTTCTACCAATCTCCCATGGTTTGACAAACAATAGGGGCTTTCTAACTAGGGGGAAGAAACACCATCTCATTTCATCTATTATTGTGAGTTGTGACTGTGGTTAGGGTTTAAGATTGTTTTCCTCAATTTCCTTAATAGAGATTACTTTCTGAAATAGCTCCAGTTAGGGACTGTTGGTGGCAATGTCACCTATATTTTTTCTTTTACAATGGGAACACTCAGTTGCTACAAAGGTGCGCACTGAAAAACCACTATCTTGTGACCCTAACTGGTAGAGGACCACAAGGACACCAACCAGCCTATGTTACCTACACAGCCAAGAAGGCCATTAGATAACCGTAATAGGGTTCAACCATGCAACCAATTTGTGGCCACTTCAGCTACCGACCAACTCGACTGCCATTATGGGCGTTAGTATGATAAATTTAGCATATAAAAATAGTCAACTAATAATAATCCTACAAATAAACTAGTACCCATCAAAAGATACAGATCCAAAAACCAAATAAAAGTGGGAGAAAAACAGAAAGTTAGGCCCGAAAATAATAATTACATAAACCAACAATTACTGCCCAACCTCGACCCAATTTATAAACCCTTCAGAAACCCAATGTAGAAGCTACTCAGACACTGAAGTTCGACTTTAAGGTTCCTTGACGATCTGAAACCTTTGATCGTGTACAACCGAGCAACTACATACACATATGCCGCTAGGTTTTCTACAAAGAACATGCACAATAAATGCTCGACATACTTGTTCCAATAAATTGATTTGATTAGCTTAAACAATTTCTCCATGTTCTCAATAAAGGATTCTTGGAGAATAGAAAATATAGATTCATAGGATTCTGGATAACTATCAAGAAGAGGTACATTCAAGAATCAAGATTCATCCTTAGCACATGGCATGCAGAGCAAGTATGGGAAAATTGTAGAGAATATATATTAAGGCATTGAACGAAAATTAGTCAACCATCTCCTTTGCATGGTAAAACTGCTACAAGCTTTGAAATACTTTTTTGGTCAGCTTTGAAATCCGTTACGGGATGAGGAAGAAACTAATGGATCTATTTCATTGTGATATGTTAATGTTTCAGTGACTGTCAAAGCTGAACCATATATATTCTTAATATCATCGTATGAAACTAATTGCTATGAGCAACATGAAATGAAAAGCATCCAAAATCCTCTTAAAGTAACAACACAATGTTAGTTAGCAGCTAAAAAGTATGAAGCAGCATATACTTCTCACATCCTTCTCAGGTATTGCCCTATATGATACAGTAAACATTATAACCGTCATCTGAACGCTTTATTTCACTTCTCTTCCTTCCAAACCCTTGGTTTACCATCCTAATAACTTGCAAGTTGCAATGAAACTGTATAAACTACCAAACACCAAACTTTGAACTCCAGTGTTTTCATCAAAGAATTTCAATTTTGTTCACTATTCCTAGAACATGAGAATGAATAACAAAGACGAAACGATTATCAATCTGCATTCACCTCAAATGAAGCAAAACAATGAACTTTGCATACAAGGATCATAAACAAGGTTCGCTCATATTACACTTCATCGTTTACATAAATTTGCTCACATTTGATCCACTTGGGCTTCTCATACCATCCAAAAAGAACAACGATAAAAGTTTTATTTTTTCAGTAACGAAACTTTAAGTTAACGAAAGTATCAAACTTCGAAACCCATAATGTCAACCTTAGCTCTACGCCTCCAAACCATAAACAAACAAGTACACCATAATGAATCCCAATAACAATTTAAAAGCTTGCTAAATCAGAGACGAGATGTAACCGAAGAGCTAGCTGAAGCAGAAACGCGATGTGAGGACTGTAATGAAAAAGAAACACGCACTGACGCACCTTTGAATTGGGCGATGCGCAAAACGGACGCGGTAACGGTAGGCAATCGGAGGAACAACAACGCCATCTTCTCCAATACCTTTCAATCGAGGTGAGGATGAAATTCTTTATTATTATTACTCCGGCATGGGGCTTGGCAGGGGCGGACCTTACGTTTGCCGGTTTGGCGGGGACGTAATGTTAGAAATTCTAACTATTATCCTCGTTGTTAATATAAATAAGAAATCATAATTATGATTTCTAGATGGTAATCGTATGACTCACAATTAGCCCCTAATCTAGATAAGATTATATTTTCCCCATAAATAGGAGTATTCTCCTTCATTGTAAAGACACCATTAGAACATCTCTAATACATCTCTCTATCACTAAGTGTTCATACTATACTTTTTCTCCCTGATCTTCTGATTATTTCCTTCCATATTATAACACGTTATCAGCACGAATTTGCTCCAAATTCCGAAAATCATCATCTTCCAAGCAGGTATATATTTTTACGAATTTATCAACTTATCTGGAAAAAAAACAGAGGATGAGAAATATAAACATGTTGATATATATATATATATATATTCAAAACTATAAGAAGTATGCTATGTGGTTGCCCAACCGTTGTGATCCTCCATATCAGAAAATTATAGCTATATTTTATATAAAATAGGTTGAAGAGGATAGAAGAAAGACATACATTTATACTAATATGTTCTTGAAATAAAATCTGCTCCTAAATCTGAACTTTTGCTTCGGAAGAATATTTGATAGCATATATTAGAGATTTTCATGTATATATGAAATAAATCCGTATGAATATAAGAAGAGCATAAGCTTATCAAACTAATTCATTGATTATACATTTGAGTAGTTAGTAGTCGGGCCATACGCCCATACAAATTGATAAAGAGCATTTATTTTACTTGTCTTCTTCCTTTGTGAAGACACTCACATAATTAATGCCATCATATAATGAATACATACTCCGTACATGGGAGAATTGAAGATAAATGAGTATATGAAATCAAATTGGCATCTTATTTCTCTTCTTAACAAAATACTCCGTAAATTACAAAGTATACAAAGAGTAAAAATACTTGAATAGCTATAATGTAATTATTATAATAAAAAGTCAATGTACGTGTCATTTCCATAGCCTGAAAAAGAAACATATGCATGTGACATTTGTCTTATTAAATTAAATGATAAAGATAACATGATAAATAAATAAATATATGTGTGTGTGTGTGTAAATACTACATACATTTGATCACCAAAGACCCCCGAGACGAGGTTATCGCCCTACTTGAAAGGAGGCTTGCCCAGATGAAAGCAAGGCAGCTGGCCGCCACACCTACGACCAACACATCCCGGGACCACGATTACAACGCCCTTTTGCACAAGGTCAGTACCTTGGAGAGGGAGCTGGCCGAAGGACGCGGTGACACCATCATACAGATCAAGACTAAGACTCCTTTCACCACAAGGGTGCTCTCAGCCCCAATACCCGAGAAGTACCGAGGGAACACCATCAAACCTTATGATGGACCCATTACCCTCAAGAACACTTCAGCCGCTATAAGAACATCATGCTGATGGTGAATGCGTCGGATGAATACCTTTGTCGTTGGTTCCTCTCCACTCTTGAGGGGCCATTATATGAGTGGTTCAACGCACTACTTGAGGGAAGCGTGGATTCATGGCAAGATCTTGCGCAACGCTTCCTCACTCATTTTGTCAGAATAAAGCGCGCGAAGAAGTACTTATCACACCTCCTCACCATAAAACAACAAAATGACGAAACACTCCAGAGTTTACTCGATCAGCGGATGAAGGAGACCGACGAGGTCGAAGGTGCCGATGGTCACACCCTCCTCGTCCTCCTTCAGGGCTTCCTCCGCAACAACCATTACGCAAGAAACCTCATCATTGACCCTCCAAGGTCATGCACCAAGGCACTCCGGTGAGGAGGTTTGTATGTCGATGCCGACGAGCTCCACTCCCATAAGAAGGATGGCGGACCGCCACAAAAAGAGCAACACGTCAACTTCAAATGCACCCTCGGTCACAGACAAGGACCGTAACAGGCAGGCACGCTCGGGATCCGAAGGGCAATGCCGAGAACGGCGCCAATGGCGGGGGAGGACGGGCATACCAAGGACCCCTCTCACGTACCCAGTGAGCATCATCCTGGATTATGTAGAGGAGCGGTGCCTCATACCCCGGGACCCTCGGTCAGTGAAGGAGATCTACGCCGTCCACCAAGGCGGCACATACTGCCGATAAAACAAAAACACCTCCCACAACACTGACGACTGCATCACACTCAAGAAGGCCATTGAGCGCTTAATTCAGCAAGATCGACTCCTCCATTTTGTTAAAGGTCCCCCAAGGGAAAACACCTGGATGAACACCGGCAAATCGCAGAGGAGAAGCATCGACAAAGAAGCGCGAGATTGGGAACCTCAGTGATGAGGACGACTTTGTGGAACCCCCAGCAGAGGAAGCACCACATCCACCTCATCGCTGGAGGCAACACTGGGGGGACTCCGCCACCCAGAGGAAGAAATGGGCTCAGTCCCTATACATCGGTGAGGTATCCCATGTTCCCCCTAGACGAAGAAGCAATGGACAGAGGTGATCACCTTCACCGACAAAGATTTGCCTCCAGGTCCACGCTCCCACAGGGATGCCCTCGTCATCCGGTGTGAAATTGCCGACACCATCATCCACCGCACCTACATTGACACAGGGAGCTCCGTCAACATCATGTACTTAGATACATTCATGCAACTGAAGCTGAACAAGGCATTGCTCAATCCGATCACGACGTCTTTGTACGGCTTCATCGGGGACTCTATCAACGCCGAAGGCACGAAAGTCCTCCCCGTTAAGGTCAGCGATGGCTCCCATCGCGCCAAAATCAACATGGAGTTTGTGGTGGTCAACCTCGAATGCGCCCACAACTTGATCAGGGGGCGACCAACATTAGAGGACCTTGATGCCATCATCTCCATGAAGCACCTCTGTTTGAAGTTCCCCGCTAATGATGGCATCGGGTACGCCAGGGGGAACCAGAGGATAGCCGGAGCATGCTACCTGAAGCTGACAAAGAAGGCTGCCAGCTCTGAACAAAGGGTTGACACCATCACCATGGTTGTCGCCAAGGACAAGGAAAGACCACGCACTGAGCCAGTGGAAGACATCAAAGAGATTCCCCTAGACGTCTCTCGGCCAGAGCAAGTCCTAAAGATTGGGAAACAACTCCCCCATGACCAATGATACACCATCCTCCTCGTCCTACGGTCCTACACCATCATTTTTGTGTGGGGGTGAAGGATATGCTACGCATCAGTTGGAAGGTGGTCACTCATCGGCTCTCTATCGATCTAGCCTCCACCCCCATCAAGCAGAAGCACCGCTATCTGTCACCCAAAAGGCAGGACTTTGTCAAAGGGGAAGTCACCATGCTCTTCTCCATCAACCACATAAAGGAGGTGAAGTACCCTTCCTGGCTGGCAAATGTCGTCCTCACTCGAAAGCCACTGACGTTCAGAATGTGCGTCGAATACACAAACTTGAACAAGGTGTGCCCTATGGATCCGCTCCCTCTCCCCAACGTTGATCAATTGGTGGATGAGACGACGGGATGTGTGCTGATGTCGTTCCTCAATGCATTATATTCAGAGGGTGCCACCAAATATTCATGCATGAGGATGACGCGAAAAAACGGCTTTCATGACCCCGGAGGGAATCTTATACTACCTCGTCATGGCCTTCAGACTTAAAAACTCTGGCGCTAATTACACTAGGATGGTAAGCAAGATCTTCAAAGTTGTCCTGGGCCAGACGATGGAAGCGTACGTCGATGACATGATCGTCAAAAGTAGGCGAGCATCCACCCATGCCGATGACCTCCAGTAAATTTTTGAAAACGTGAAAAAGTTCACGCTCCGACTGAAACCAAAGAAGTGCACCTTCGGCGTCCAAGGAGGCAAATTCCTAGGTTACATGGTCAACCGAAGGGGAATTGAGGCAAACCCAGAGAAGATACAGGTCATCATCAATATGGAGCCGCCATGCAATATTAAAGAGATACAACGGCTGGTGGGGCGCCTGGCTGCCTTAAACCGCTTCCTCTCCAAGTCAGCCAAAAGGTCACTTCCCTTCTTCCAGATCATGCGCAAGACCGTCGACTTCAAATGGACAACGGAGTGCCAACAAGCCTTCGAGGAGCTGAAGCAATACCTGGCCTCCCCTCTCGTCCTCTCCAAACCAAAGCCTGGCGAGACGCTCTTCCTTTACTTAGGTGTGAGCACATCGGCCATCATCTATGTGCTCATCCGTGAGGAAGAAGGATTTCATAACGCCATATTCTACGTCAGCAAGACACTACGGGAGGTGGAACTCCGCCCCAATGAGAAAATGGTGTTAGCCATCATCCATATAGTAAAGAAGCTGGGGCACTACTTCAAGACACACTCCGTCAATGTCCTTACTCAGCAACCCCTCAGCGCGCTCATGCGAAACCCAACCAATTCTTCAAGGATGGTGAAATGGGAGATCTTCCTTAGCCAGTACCAGATTGAGATCAAGCTCAGGCCATCCATCAAAGGGCAAGCCTTGGCCGACTTTGTGACCGAGTGCACGACCAGGGAAACGGCTATCACCATCCCTGGCTCTGAAGCGGACGAAGCATGGACCCTATTCACTGAAGGATTCAGAGCATACTATGTCATCCACTTCAACTTCAGAGTATCCAAAAATGAAGCCGAGTATGAGGCCCTCCTCAGCGGCCTTAGGCTCACTGCCGGCCTCAAAGCTCGACACATCGAATCAAATGCGACTCCAAGCTGGTGGTGGGTCAGATCGAGGGCTCATACAAAGCTAAGGAAGGGAGGATGAGGCAATACAAACAAGTAGCAGAGGAATTGCTTAAGGCATTTGAAAGCCATGAGATCACAAAGATCCCAAGGGCGGAGAATGTCAAGGCCGATATACTCTCCAAGCTCAGCAAAGACACTCCGGAGCACATCTCCAAGATATCCAAGATCGAGAAGCTGAGCATGTAAAGCATCCATGTCAGCCCCATCTTGTGCGTCTAACATCGGCCGAAGGACTGGATCTCTGACATTATGACCTTCATCACCTCCGGAGAACTACTTACAGTTGCAGATACAGAAATTGAGGTAG